TCTTCAATATCAAAGAATTCAGTCTCCAGATGTGAGGGATTGAAGAATGTTGATTGTTGTCTAGGGCTGTGTTGATTGGAGCGTGGTCTGACCAGGTTATGGTGCCAATTTTGGATGATGTTACATGCAGCAAGGTCCATGTAACAAAGAAGTCAATTCTGGAGTAGGATAAGTGAGATGGGGAGTAGTAGGTGTAGTCTTTTTTTTGGCTGTGTTGGCATCTCCAGATGTCATAGAGATCATGGTCATGTAAGAAACAGTTGAAATTATGTTTGGGAGATCGTTTGTTGGAGGAAGAGTCCAGAAGTGGGTTGCCGATGACGTTGAATTCTCCGCCTATGAGAAGTCTGCCTTGTTTGTGAGAAGAGATGGTGGAGTGGAGTTTGTGATAGAATTGCGTCTGATTGTTGTTAGGGCCGTAAACGTTTACTAGAGTATAGGGGATATCGTTGATTTTGCAGATTAAGATATGGTAGGGACCTTGAGGGTCTGCTATTTCTGAGATGTGGTGGAATTGTGTAGCGTCTTTTATGGCTGTAATGATACCATTTTTTTTTCTTGGAATTGGTGGCCATATACAGGTGAAACTTGAAAAATTAGAATATCGTGCAAAAGTTCATTTATTTCAGTAATGCAAATTAAAAGGTGAAACTAATATATGAGATAGACTCATTACATTCAAAGCAAGATTGTTCAAGCCGTGATTTGTCATAATTGTGATGATTATGGCTTACAGCTCAACCCCAAATCCACAATCTCAGAAAATTAGAATATTACATGCAATCAATAAAACAAGGATTGTACATAGAACAATATCGGACCTCTGAAAAGTATAAGCATGCATATGTACTCAGTACTTGGTTTGGGCCCCTTTTGCAGCAATTACCGCCTCAGTGCGGCGTGGCATGGAAGCTATCAGCCTGTGGCACTGATGAGGTGTTATGCAAGACCAGGATGCTTCAATAGCGGCCTTCAGCTCTTCTGCATTGTTCAGTCTCATGTCTCTCATCTTTCTCTTGGCAATGCCCCATAGATTCTCTATGGGGTTCAGGTCAGGCGAGATTGCTGGCCAATCAAGCACAGTAATCCCACAGTCATTGAACTAGATTTTGGTGCTTTTGGCAGTGTGGGCAGGTGCCAAGTCCTGCTGGAAAATGAAGTCAGAATCCCCATAAAGCTCATCTGCAGAAGGAAGCATGAAGTGCTCCAAAATCTCCTGGTAGACGGCTGCATTGACCCTGGACTTAATGAAGCACAGTGGACCAACACCAGCAGGTGACATGGCTCCCCAAATCAACACAGACTGTGGAAACTTCACACTGGACTTTAAGCATCTTGCAGTGTATGCCTCTCCATTCTTCCTCCATGCTCGGGGTCCTTGGTTTCCAAATGAGATACAAAAGTTGCTCTCATCAGAAAAGAGGACTTTGGACCACTAAGCAACAGACCAGGTCTGTTGTTCTTTAGCCCAGCTAAGGCGCTTCTGACGTTGTTTGTTGTTCAGGAGCAGCTTGACAAGAGGAATATGACATTTGAAGCCCATGTCCAGCCTCAGTCCACTCCTTGTGAAAGTCCCCAACACTTTTGAATGGCCTTTTCCTGACAATCCTCTACAGGCTGCAGTCATCCCTGCTGCTTGTGCACTTTTTTCTTCCACACTTCCACACTTTTCCCCACTTTGGATGTTCCCAAAGTGCTGTATCAAAGCACATTAGTGCTTTGATACAGCACTTTGGGAACATCCAACTTCTTTTGCAATTACCTTTAGAGGCTTTCCCTCCTTATGGAGGGTGTCAGTTATGGTTTTCTGCACAACTGTCAGGTCAGCAGTCTTTCCCATGATTGTGATTCCTACTGAACCAGACTGAGAGACCATTTAAAGGCTCAGGAACCCTTTGCAGGTGTTATGGCTTAATTATCTGATTAGAGTGGGACACTTTGAGCCTAGAATATTGCACCTTTTCACAATATTTTCATTTTCTGAGATTGTGGATTTGGGGTTGAGTATCTTGCTTTGTATGTAACAAGTCTATCTCATATATTAGTTTCACCTTTAAAGTTGCATTACTGAAATAAATGAACTTTTGCACGATATTCTAATTTTTCGAGTTTCACCTGTAAATGTGGGAAAATTGATGCAGCTGTAGTTTAGGGGTCTTGATTGATGCAAAATATGTTTCCTGTAGGAAGAGTATGTCAGCGTGAAATGCACGGGTTTCCTTTTGGAGCATCGATCTCTTAAAGGGGGAGTTTAGGCCACGAACATTAAGAGATGCTATGTTAATCATATTGTAGATCGTTGGCTTGGTTAGTTGAGTAGGTGGGTTGTTTCTTGATGTGTTGAGATAAATTGGATAAGCGTGGTCGTGAGAGGAGAATTTCCACAGGCTTGGTAGTGTGGTATTGGCTCGATCGATGATTCGGGGGATGTTTTCCATGTTGTTTTGCAGGTGTCAGTTGAACAATTGATTCGGATGGTCGACTGGTGGTGCAGGAGAGGAAGGAGGTGAGAGGGGGTAAAAAAAACTTGCAGAAAATGCAAGTAACATGAGTAGCGTGGTGTGCTACTTCAAAACAGGGAGGTGTGAACAAGCATTGACCGTGAAATGCATCATGCCAAACAGTATCTTGTAACGTGAAGATATTCGATAAAGGGCCGTTTGCCAGAGATTAGTAGGTTGAAGTATAGTGTCCGAGGTGATATGTTTGAAGTGGATTGAGGGTGTAATGAGTCAGGATCACTCTGCCTCCATTTGTTGCATATTAGTAGAGGTGGATTGGTGGGGTTCCACACGGGCATTATGTTTCAGGTCTTTAAGAGGTCGATCCCTGCTTCTAGGTTTTTGATTGTATATATTCTGCCGTGATGTTTGACGGTCAGTTTTGCGGGGTAACCCCATTGATAGCCTATTCCATTGTTTCGTACGGCTTTGGTGATGGTTACCATCTTTTTACGGTTAAGGAGTGTGGCCTTTGACAAATCTGCGAATAATCTGATATTTGTATGTGATAGCGGGAGTGGAGGGGGGTTTCTGGCTGCCAACATTATTTTTTCTTTTACGTGGTAAAAGTGGATGCGGGCCAGAACATCTCTAAATCTCTAGGGATTGATGCCGATAGGAATGAAGGTTTGGGTATTCTGTGTGCTCGATCTATGACGAGCTCCATATCTGAGAGAGATGGGATGAGGTGTCTCATATATTGTTGGATATATGGTAGTAGTGTATCGTTGGCGATATTTTCAGGAATACCTCTGAATTTGATGTTGTTGCGTCTTGAGCGATCCTCTAGATCTGCTAGCTTCAAATTTATTTGCTCGATATCAGGTGTATGGTCAGCGTGTGCGTCAATTAGGTCATTATGCGCTGTAGTTATTTCTCTCAATCTCGTTTCAATATGGCGTAATCTGTGTTCTTGTTGCTGAACCACATTTGAGATCTGGGATAGTGATGATGTCAAGTCGGTATGTAGTGTTTGTCTGGATCGGTCTTCTAAATCAGCTAATTTCAGGTTTATTTGTTCAATATCAGCTTCCATGTCTGCGTGTGCGTCAATCAAGTCGTTATGGGCTGTGAACATTTCTCCCATTTTGTTTTCAATATGGCATATGCGGTGTTCTTGTTGTTGTACCACATTAGAGATTTGGGATAGTGACACTGTAAGATCAGTGTGGAGTGTTTGACTCAGAGAAAGAAGCATGTTTTTCATAGATATCTCAGTGATAGGTTGATCAGAAGCAGGAAAAGATTCAATTAAAGAATTTTGAGGTAGAATTTGTAAGATAAAGAGTCGGTTGTCAGGAGTGGATTCAGTATCCAATCTGGGACTCGATTTAGCAGGACTGCTTGTGGTGGGAGACAGGGGAGGAGAGGACTCACCCGGGTCTCCTTGGTACAGTGGTGCTCTTAATCTGGGATCCAGGTGCTGTGCTGCGGTGTCTCTGTCACAGGTACTGTGTCCATTCATGCTGCAGCCGGCGCCATCTTGGCTGCATGAGGGGACAGCAGGGAAGAAGCTTGTCAGCTTCCCTGGCTGTCCTGGGGCTTTCCTCCTCCGTGGCATGGTAGACATGGGGTTAATGTACCCTTATGTGTGTGACGGAAGCGTAGGCAGCACAGAACATGCAGAGAAAATGGGCAACCCACAAAGCTTTATTGAAACAACAAAATGACAGACACTCAATGGGAAAATGGTGGGGAGGGTGAGGTGTGCGCAAAATAGGGACGATCCCAGGCACGGGGGGTCTTCTCTGGCAGGGTGGCTTGTGCGGTCCTCCCCCGCCCTTTGGACTGGGGTCTTCGTCAGCAGGCGAACAATCTTCCCCCTAGGCTTGGGGGGTCCCAGGCAGAGCCTGATCACGAGGGTCCCACCTCAGCTGAGATCCCTCCGTGACTGCACAACGGTTTGGAGTCTCGGGCAACAGGCGGGCAACCTACCCCTGGGCAGGGGTCTCGGGGACTCAACGGGACTTTAGCTGTGGAGTCTGGCTTCAGCACAGCTCATACCCAGCTTCCTAAGGACATTGGGTTCACAGGGACTCAACGGGTAGCAATGGCTCAAGCACTCAGGAGCATCACAGGTAGCTATACTCCGGGCATGCCACGGGGCGGTTCAAGTAAGGGTAGTCTAGGCATGTAGTAGGGCAGTTCATGACCCGGGTGGTCTGTGCGCACAACAGGGATAGCTCAGAACATGGGTAGTCAGTGCACACAGCAGGGACAGTTCAAAACACGGGTAGTCGGTGCACACAGCAGGGACAGTTCAAAACACGGGTAGTCTGTGCACACAACAGGGACAGTTCAGGACACGGGTGGTCGGTGTACACAGCAGGGACAGTTCAGGACACGGGGGAGGTCGGTGCACACAACAGGGACAGTTCAGGACACGGGTAGTCTGTGCGCACAACAGGGACAGTTCAGGGCACGGGGGAGGTCGGTGTGTACAACAGGGACAGTCCAGGACATGGGTAGTCAGTGCACACAGCAGGGACAGTTCAAAACACGGGTAGTCGGTGCACACAGCAAGGACAGTTCAGGACACGGGTAGTCTGTGCACACAACAGGGACAGTTCAGGACACGGGTGGTCGGTGTACACAGCAGGGACAGTTCAAAACACGGGTGGTCGGTGCACACAGCAGGGACAGTTCAAAACACGGGTGGTCGGTGCGCACAACAGGGACAGTTCAGGACACGGGGGAGGTCGGTGCACACAACAGGGACAGTTCAGGACACGGTTGGTCTGTGCGCACAACAGGGACAGTTCAGGACACGGGGGAGGTCGGTGTGTACAACAGGGACAGTCCAGGACACGGGGGAGGTCGGTGCACACAACAGGCACAGTTCAGGACACGGGGGAGGTCAGTGCGCACAACAGGAACAGTTCAGGACACGGGTAGTCTATGCGCACACCACGGGCAGTTCATGGCTTCTAGGGACACTCACGGTAGGCGACTTGCAGACGCTCAGCAGCAGGTGGCTTCCAGGGAGGTAGGCGACTTGTGGACGCTCGGCAGCAGGCAGCTTCCAGGGACCCTCACAGCAGCTGGCTCCTCCAGGGGCCTAGCGATCAGCAGCAGGGGCCCTCACGGCAGCCAGCTCCTCCAGGGGCCCAGCGATCAGAAGGCAGGGGCCCTCACAGCGGCCGGCTTCTCCAGGGGCCAAGCGACCAGCAGGCAGGGGCCCTTACAGCGGCCATCTTCTCCAGAGGCCCAGCGATCAGCAGCAGGGGCCCTCACAGCGGCCAGCTTCTCCAGGGGCCCAGCGATCAGAAGGCAGGGGCCCTCACAGCGGCCGGCTTCTCCAGGGCCCAGTGACCAGCAGGCAGGGGCCCTCACAGCAGCCAGGAACAGCAGCGGGGGTAGCATGGCCACGGGGTCTGACCTTGGATGAGGGGGCTCATGCAGAGCTGTGGAGACTCCCAACCTGGGACATTCAGCGGAGGGAGCAAGATGATTCCAGCAGTGTGCAGAGGAACAAAAAAAAAAAACTGCTTCCTGTGCCAGGCTATTTAAAAGCCATGGGGGACACTGCCGGGTTGCCTCGGCAACGGCCGGCCCAGCACAATTCATGGAAACTTACAAGGACAGAGGAATATGCAAGGGGGGAGGGAGGGGTGGAGGGATATGGCTGAGTCACAGCAGGCAAAGGGGGGTGGGGGAAGCATGGGCACTCCGTGACAATGTGTAATTTGAGTCACTCGGATCTCTCCATTGTCGGAGTGTGCCGCGTCTCTGCTGACAGATGGACGGAGCTCTGTCTCTCACACGTCCATCCTCGGTACCGGCCACCCCTCCCCCTTCGGCTTGCCAAGTTTAAATAGTTAGCAAATGGGAAAGAATTCGATAGTACTACTTTCATAACATGTGAAACCACCCATGTTGCAAACGCTTTGGAATGTCCATGCAGCCTTATTTATATAGGTCGCACAAAAAGACATTAGAAAAAGGATTAACGAACATCTACACTATATATATATATATATATATATATATATATATATATATACACACACATATATATACACACACACACACAGAGTTCTGTTCAAAATAATAGCAGTGTGTTGAAAAAAGTGAATAAAGCTCAAAATCCTTCTAATAGCTTTTATTTCCATACACAGAAATGCATTGGGAACACTACACATTCTATTCCAAATCAAAACATGAAGAAAAATATATCAAATTTGTGTTGTTCCTCTAAAAAAAAAATTGAAGAAAAGTGAATATTGGACTGTTCAAAAAAATAGCAGTGTTTGTATTCTTCTTTACAAACTCAAACATTCACTATATAAACTGAACAATGTTTGAAGATTTTGCTATCCTTTGAATCACTTAATTAATATTTAGTTGTATAACCACTGTTTCTGAGAACTGCTGTACATCTGTGTTGCATGGAGTCAACCAATTTCTGGCACCTGTGAACAGGTATTCCAGCCCAGGATGATTGGACTACATTCCACAGTTCTCCTCTATTTCTTGGTTTTGCCTCAGAAACTGCATTTTTGATGTCACCCCACAAGTTTTCTATTGGATTAAGATCCGGGGATTGGGCTGGCCACACCATAACGTCAATCTTGTTGGTCTGAAACCAAAATGTTGCACGTTTACTGGTGTGTTTGGGGTCGTTGTCTTGTTGGAATACCCATTTCAAGGTTATTTCCTCTTCAGCATAAGGCAGCATGACCTATTCAAGTATTCTGATGTATTCAAACTGATCCATGTCCCCTGGTATGCAATAAATAGGCCCAACACCGTAGTATGAGAAACATCCCCATATCATGATGCTTGCGCAACCATGCTTCACTGTCTTCACAGTGTACTGTGGCTTGAATTCAGTGTTTGGGGGTTGTCTGACAAACTGTCTCCGGCCACTAGACCCAAAAAGAACAATCTCACTTTCATCAGTCCACAAAATGTTGCGCCATTTCACTTTAGGCCAGTCGATGTGCTCTTTGGCAAATTGTAAGCACATCTTTTTTTCAACAGTGGGACTTTGCGGGGGCTTCTTGCAGATAGCTTGGCTTCACATAGGTGTCTTCTAATTGTAACAGTACTCACAGGTAACTTTAGACCTTCTTTGATCTTTCTGGAGCTGATTGTTGGCTGAGTCCTTGCCATTTTGGTTATTCTTCTATCCATTTGAATGGTAGTTTTTCACTTTCTTCCACGTCTTTCAGGTTTTGGTTGCCATTTTAAAGCATTTGCGATCATTTTTAGCTGAGCAGCCTATCATTTTTTGCACTTCTTTATATGTTTTCCCCTCTCCAATCAACTTTTTAATCAAGGTACGCTGTTCTTCTGAACAATGTCTGGAACGACCCATTTTCCTCAGAATTTCAGAGAGAAATGCACTGTAACCAGCATGTACAACATTTGCTGCCTTCCTTCCTTAAATCAGGGCAATAATTGCCACCTGTTTGTCAAAGAATGAATGACCTCACTAATAGAACTCCACACTGCTATTATTTTGAACATGCCCCTTTCAATTAGTGATTCAATTACACAGAATCAGCAGCATGCATGTCATGACTGTTGGGTCTGTTGGATTTCTATTACTCTACTACACCTGCTAGTAAATTATTTGCCATGTAGAAATATCATTTCTACCAAAAACAGTGATTGATCAGGTTACTGATGTCTGACTGCTATTATTTTGAACACAACTGTATATAGATATAGGATACAAGTATCACAGTGTGTTCATGCACTTTAGAAAGCATCACAATTGGGACCCTTCTTGTGTGAAATTTTGGGGAATAGTCACTATTCCCTATTCTTGGCGGGGTTCCAATAGGGTGAGGGAATTATCCAAAAGGGAAACAAAATGTATTTACCTCACGGATGCCTTAGCACCAAATGGCTTAAATATAGAGCTAGATATGAATTGTTTAATTAGTGATTATTGATTTTTATATCATTATCAATTTCTTGTTATGAATAATATAAATATATTAATTACTGTATCAGTGATTGTTGATGTTTGTATCATTATAATATTTTGGTATGTTATGAATAATTGATAATCTATTTTATAATTGCTATTTTATTATTATGTTAGTGTTGATTTTATGTATTAATTTGCACATTTATATTAATGATGATGTTATATATGTATCAATTAAAATTCAATGTCTAGTAGGTTGTAATTGATCTGTTAGATCAGAATTGGTCAGGAAGAGATCTTAGTCTTAATTTTTATTAGGTTCATTGTTATAATTATCTATGCAGCTAACAATATAGTTTATATCCACAAGATGGCATTAAGGAGGTAGATTATTTAACCAATGACATAGCGAGCAGACTTTTTTAAGACTGCTCGTTCGCACGTATGGCTACACCCTCAGAGGAAGTCGGAATGATGAAACGCATCAGTCGTGACCATCTGTGACGTCAGCATGCACGCCGGGACAATGCAACGGGATCACGTGACTGCTGCTGCAGGATTCCTATTCAGAAGTGTGTTGTGAGACCATCACCTGCTGCTGCAGCGGCTCTTAGAACATATTGGAGTGTTTTTAATGCATGTGCTTTTATGTTTGACTCAAATGTGAGTTCCATTTTAAGGGGGGCTTTTGGTTAATAAATGTGTTAACGGAATTACACTATGTGGCTGTTTTGATTTTGCCCACATATGGAGTTGGATTACTAAGATTAAATCTTGATGATGAGGAGGTTGGAAGGAGAGTGATCAATACTTTATTGAATGGATGGTGATCTTGTTCTGTGATACTGAGGTTGAATTATCCACTGTTGGTCCTGTAATCATCCAGCACCAGTTTGATTTTCCACTGCTGGTTACTCACCAGTATCTGGTGAGTTCAATTTTAGTCACTGGAGGATCACAATGATGGTGGATTGAACAACCTTAAAGAAATATCACAGCAATGAAATTAATTGAACTTTATTTCACATTTTGCACGCTATGGAGGAAATTTCTTGATTTCTTTTCTTTTTATGTGTTACTGATTTATGTATGATCCTTTGTTTCTTAGGGTCAAATTCATTTAACTGAGCACTGTTATGAGGACATTTAATTACTCATATATTTGTTAATTTTAATAAATCATTTAAGTGACAATTTTTTGTATTTATTTTTTTTGTCATTTTCCAAAAACTTGTGGTAAAAAAATAAATTATTCTATTGACTCAACATGCCTCTCAAAAAATAGTTTGGTGTGTTTACTTTCCAAAAAGGGGTCATTTTGGGGGGGTGGGGCATTTTATGCCCAACATTAGAAGTTTGTGCCACAAATCACTCACTCTTCTAACCACCTGAAGCCTTTTATGACACTTTTTTGTTCACATGAAAAAAAATCTGTATTTTTTGTAGGGAATTACTTTTAACCCCCAAACATTATATATATTTTTAAAGCAGATACCATAGTGAATAAAATGGTGGGTGCTGCAATTTTTTATGTCACATAGTACTCTTGCAGCGATTTTTCAAACGCAAATGTTATGAAAAAATACACTTTTTTTACTTTTAATGCACAAAAACACAATATAGTGGCCACTTATTTGGTAAAATATAAAAGATGATGGTATGCCGAGTATATAGATACCAAACATGACATGCTTTAAAACTGCACATGCCCCGTGCAATGGCGACAAACTGCATATATTTTTAATATCCATAGGCAACCCTTTAAAAGCCTTTACAAGCTACCATTTTAGATTTACAGAATTACTGCCCTTGATTTGACATCTGCGGCAATACCTCACCTGCATGGTGCAACCGCTGTTTACATATCGGCACAGAGTCCACGTTCGCACACGCAGGTACACACGCTCATGGGGGGGGGGGGGGCAAGGGGGCTTTTTTTTTTAAGTTATTTTGATTTTTTAAATTATTTTTTACACTGTCCCTTTCATTTTTTTATCACTTTTAATGCTATCATAGGGAATGCAAATATCCCCTATAACTTCAATGGGCATTGTCATATATTCTTTTTTGTGAAATCTGGGGTCTATCAGGCTCTAGATATCTCCTCTAGCCTTACATTATCTAATCTCACCAAGATCGGTGTGATCAGATGCTTTCCCAATTTACAAATGGCGCTGTTTATATCCTGCGAAATTGATGAAGTGATGAAATGCTCGTTGCTTATGATTTCTTAGACTATAGAAATGATTGGCACCATTTCAGTCTCCAATCAGCTCTATGGTCAGCTGGCAGAAACACCTGCTGCATTCTCAGGTTCCTCTATTGGCACGGGCCCGAGAAGGCCGTGGAAGGAATTGTGTGCA